AGCAAGCCGTGGTTGTGCTCTGAGAGCAGGGACCACAATGATTGCCCTCCATGAGCCCATGGGCAACACAGCAACACAACATTGCTGACAGGAAGCAGAACGAGCGTCTCCCTTGGACCAGACGAGCACTGTGGCAAAGCAGCACTAGTGATGAATTCTGGAAACGCACGCTTTCTGATTCATGTTAAAACACCTGCTACTCAGAACTGTCTCCTAATGGCCCCCATAGTACCAAAAAAACTGAGTTGGAATCAGAAGCTCAAATGCGCATAATTTATGGCGGGTCTGACCCATCTCAAGTTTACCAGAGAGGCAAATGACTCTTTCAGTCGCGTATGACAAACACATACAGGCACACAGCTGCAAAGCGGAACTTCTTTGGTCAACAAATTCTGTCATTCTAACTGCAAGTTTTTCTGCCTAAACTGCCTCCTTAGAAAATACTACTAGAGTTGCAAGATCTTCAGTTCGTAATATTTCATTAGGACAGACCACAGTACTTTTTTGGTATAATATATTACAAAGTATCATAAATAATTAAAAATTAATCACACTTGTCAAAATAAATAAATGCATTCAGTGATGCAGTGGGCCTGAATTTTTTATAGCATCTATTTGCTTATTCATGAATTGAAAGAAAAAAAGTCTAGTAATCCACAATGGATTGCCTACTCATTATGGCACGTACAGGCCTGATTCAGATCCCAGCAGTGGATGTTCTTCTGTCAATCTTTAGCACATCAGTGGAATTTTAACATAAAAAAGCTCTGATCCTGCAAAAAGTTACATAAGCATGACTTCAAAAACATTAGTAGCTACAACAGATCTTCACGCATCGTGCAGGCCCTAGCTGGCAGATGCACTACTGATTTTGTTACCACAGGTCCACTTAGAGGAAGGGGGCATACAGGAATGGAGGAGAGTGGAGCATTTTAGCACAAAATTTGCTAAGAAAAACCCTAAGAAATATATCGATAGATCCCCTTCTGTAGACTTCTATAAACAGACAATCCTGCAGTTCTTGACAACAAATACCCAATATTTTTGCATAACAAGTGATTCAATACCGTTCACAAGCCTTTAACAGAATAGCAAGTAATATTCTGTGCTTAAATAGCACCTGCGGTCTCCGAATCTTCAAATCGTTCCGAAAAGCTTAGTGCCTTTTCTTTCCTTTTCAAAAAAAAAAAAAAAAAAAAAAAAAAAGAGGGGGTTGGGGGGGGGGAGGGGGAAATGAACAACCCTGCCAGCACAAATCAAAGATCCATCAAACTTCTGGCTCTGAAAATGGACAGGTGTAGATACACAGAGAATAATATATGAGCAGGGAAAACAAACAGTAGTACTTCCCCAGCATATTCCCCTAGCCTTCAAGAATGTATATAGCTCACAGACTATCTGAGCCAGAAAAGGTATTTTGAGAATTGAATTGCCCTCACCTTATTTTTCTTCCTTGCACATGTCCAATCACTTTGTGCACCCAAAGACGGTTTTAGCACCAACAATACCACCTGTGAAAAGGTTCCACAGTTTCACTCTTTTCACGTACTGAAGGATTTCCTTTTATCTTTGTTTTGAACCTGACACCTACTAATTTCATCTGATACACTCTAATTCTTTTTTAGAGGAGATAAGCAATATTCACTCTGTACTCATCTACTCTGTGCTTTATAACATCTTGTGATTTTATAAAACTCTACCATGCACTCCTTCAGCTGTGTCTGTTCTAACCCCCAAATCAGGCTGAATGATTAATACCAGCTCAGAATCCATCCTTATATATGCCAAATTCAGATTGCTTCTCCCACCACCACAACCAAATCATCTGCACTAAATTTAATCTGCCACCGTTATGCAGTTAAGCATCCTTTTTCAATTCTTTGCAAATCAGTCCTCCTCTCCTCTACCTTGAATAACTTAGTAACACAGAGGTGACTGTAACCAAACACAGAGATATCTAAAACTAGTTCTTCCTCTAGGTAGTTTGATCCATGTTAATTTATTCTGATTCCAAGAGACTGAGCTTGTATCATAAGGAAGGGGAGGGGAGGACAGGACACAAAAAACAAACAACAGAAGCTCTCCCAGTGTCTCTCTTTGTGAGACTGATCAATGACTTCCTACTCAACCTTTTACATAAAGGAAACAATGAATCATATCTAAGGCATTTGTCTCTGTCAATGTCTTGACATGACTTGATAGCCAAGTGACAAGGATGAGCTAAACCATCTCAAAATCTAGTTATGCTATCTGTTTATCTTGGTGCATTACTGTCTGCAAAGGAGATGAAATGAGATTGAGATAATTGGAAGTACAATTTGCAGGGAACAGTGGGGGTTGGAATTACTGTGCTTAATTATTTCAGATTGAAACAGACCACACAACTACCTGTGCCAAGCAGTAATCAAAGTGATTTAAAATAGAAAGATGCTAGCTCCAAGTGTTGATTTTTCAAATGAATCTTTACATGCGCAGGAGTTAGAGTCATCTGTGAGCTGCAGATCTGCAGGTCTTTTGAGGGGCGTAAAAGAAAATTATCATTGACTACGTCCAACACGCCTGATAATTTTAAAAAAGAGAAACACCATATACCCACACAACACAAATCCAAATCCACCGAACCTATGTACCACTTGGGATTTGCCAAAAAACAGCTGAATGCAAGCTTCAGCCTTGATCGCCTATGCTCCAGAAGGAGAAAGGACAAAACTTTGGGCTTAGAAATGGAATTTTAAGCCAAGAGCAATTGAAAATAATCAACCAATACCACCCTTGCTTCTGGGCTACAGCGTCAGCCAATATTCCTCCCCTTCTTCTGCTTGAATCAACATATAAAACTGACTGAATACAGACAGAAGGAGAGTTTTTCAAAAGAAAATTGAAAAGAAACCCAAATCAACAATATGAAGCGCTACAGTAGCCCAGCTGGGCTCTTCACCTGGAATGGGAAGCACTAAAACCTCACACAGTCCCAGTTTGAGCTGATCAGTGGTTTCAGCCTAAGCTCTCTGCATTCTCACAGGCAAGTTCTCTTGTGGCAGCCTGCACCTTCTGTACCACCATTACAACAGTTTCTCTGAAACTAGCATGTTCCTGCAGAGAGCTTCTCATTTGCTTTTTATTTTATGACCACCTCGCCAGGCATCTCCTAAACAGATTTATTTCCTCACTGGTTTTCCCCATTTCTTTTCACACCAATTCAAAACAAACATGTTTTAATTCCTAAATTTCATTAACAGCCAACTTGCACAAGAATTTAAGTAAACGGAAACCTTTATATGAATTTTAGTACTTTCTCAATAAGAATACTTTCTGATTTACCCCAGACTTTCTCTTAACTGTATCTGTCTTTATAGCAAGCAGTTTTTTGCATGCATACACGTTCTTCAATGGGAAAATCAGAAGATATTTGTATGCATCACAAACCTGGTCCATCTGCTTTAAGCACCAGGCAGATCTCACCAAAATGAGTGAATCTGCTTATGTATCACTGCTGAAGCAATCAATCAGCCCTAAAAGTTTATTTATAATGGATATTTGGAGAAAAGTACCATACTCTGATATGGATGAGAAAGCAGAACGCACAAACATGAATGAAAGCTGCACTGAAACTTTTCCTCAGTATTTGCCTGAATTTAAGAACTACTAGAAGCAGTCAGCCTGCAGGTCTGCAAAGTCAAATGCCATCTCTGACACCGGCCAGTACGAAAGAGGTCCTTTCACTTGCAGCATTCTGTAGGAGGCTTCTTGAGCCACGGACTGTAGATAGACCATTGCATTAAATAACCAGTGATGAATGTATTCTGCAAGAATTCATCCAATCCTTCTTTAAACTTAGGCATACATCTGATCTCCATAACATTAAGTCAGGCATCTTATTGCGACGGGTTATTCAGGTACTGCATGAAAAATATCTCCTCTTGCTTGTTCCGTGCCTGCCACCTGGTAAATTCACGGCTGTTTTCTGTTCTTCTCTGCTACACGTTTTTACAGACCTCTAAGTCCTACCATCACATGCAGATGAAAGTATTTTTGCCTATTTAGTTTCACTTTGCATGGAAACTGTTCTATATCTCAGATAATCTTTGTTGTCCTTCCTTATACCTCTTCATTCTATATTCCCTTTGCCTGGAAAAGGCTTTTAGCCCTGACTTCCTTTTTCCCTTTTGTAGCTTCATTCTCATCAACATCACCTGACTTCTTACTGGAAGTCTTCAAGCAGATGTTACCAACAGCAGGAAGGATGTTAGGGAATTTTCTGCCTTCCCAGGATTAGGATAGCACAAGTGTATCTAACAATCTTTTTTTTTTTTTTTTTTTTAAATCACTTATGAAATACGCTGCTGTTTACAGACATGATCATAAGCTGGAAGAAAAATCCCAACAAACCAACTTTCCTTCCAAAGAAGGAGAAAAGAACATTACACTCCCATCTTTTCATACTACTTTAAAAATAGCATTGTATTTCTTATATTAAGGGTGAAACGTATCATTTTCTCACCAAAGAAAAAACATACACCATGGACACAAGGAAATTGTCTAAACTACTCTGCAAATAAGCAAGCAGTTAAGCAGCATTTAGAGCAAAGTTAAAGCTCTAGACTCAATGGTTTTATTCATTTTATGCCTCTCTTCCATGCACAAAATGACCTTAAACAGATCATAACGTCCTCATGCTTTAAATTACTCAGGGTGAAGTAAAGCTAAATTCATCAGCAGTTATTTTAAGAGGTTTTGAGGAAGGCAGTGTATGTTAAAATTACTATTCTCATTGATTCTGATTTTATACAGGACCACTTTTGGTGTTTCGCTTCCTACATATTTGATGCAGATTGTCTTTAGACAAAAACAGACACTTTATATGCAGAGTGACTCCTCTTGTTTGTCACACTGTTTGCATTATTTGCCACAACAAAAGGATTGTAGCTGTCTAAAGTATTTCAGAACATCATTTTTACAAACACTACATTGAAAGCATTACATGGCTATATTCATTTTACCTTTTGGTGTATCCTCAGAGTGATCTCTTTCTGGTCCATCTGGAATGTTTAGCTGTGAAATCTCTTCTGCATTCACTCTAAGCCAGGCCCTGTTACGGTTTTCCTGATCTTTTGAGGAAAGGGAATATTCTAGCTCACAAGGAGATTCAAAGTTGCAGTCAAATACTGGAAAAGAAAAACAGACACAGAACATAGCAGGTTAACTAAATTCAGCTTCCTCTGTGCTGGAAGGTGCGTACATACACCCCCACATACAAGTATACATTTTGTAATGAGCCAGGACTCGTTTTCTTCTGCAATGAGGTAAAGAGCTTATGGGGGAAGTCCATAAACAGGCAAGAGTTTGTTCAGAATGGACCATGCTGAAAGGTTCACTACGGAAGCAGCGGCAGACCAAGAGGAAGGCCCAAGAGCCAGCTGTTTCCCTTCTGGTTAGCTATAAGGGAAGCACAGGCTAAAGGAGGGAAAGTCACCATCTAGATTGATGGGAAATAGCTTAGTCAGTTGATAAAATGAAATATGTTCTGGGACGTAGGTTCAAATTCAACCAGAACCATCACAGTATAAACGCTATAGTCATGGTCCAGCTCAGTAACCAGGATTCTACAAAACGAGTCTCATACGTTCTGGCCATATTGTACATACTGGTAGCCTCAGGGATTATACCCTATGAAGTAACCTTTTGACCCACCAGGTTTGAAACACTTCAGTGCAGTAGTAGAAGCTTTATTTGCTGCTGCAAACTTTAGCCTCCAGCATCCGTCTCCAACATAGATATTTCTTTCTGTTTCCCTTTTAGAGTAATTCCCCAATTACTCTGCTGGTGCAACTACGCTTCTTTTCTCTGTGTACAATTTACTATCACACCATAATTCAAGTTGCTTAATAAAACATCCAGTGATAACCAGCACAGATTTTATTTTAATTATCATTTCTAACTTTTTCTTGAATAGATGATGTATATTTGCTTCTACCACCACAGTCGGAACTCAGCACAGTACTCACTAAAGGAAAGAAACTGTTTGTGAACTAGCCCAATGTGAAAAGGCTAGGTCCTTTCATAAAAGACAACAAAAACTTTGAACTGTTCTTTGGAGATCTTTGATAATGTCTACTGCCTTGCCACAGCTATGCATGTAGGACAAATAGTCTGAATTGCCATTAGTGAGATTATCTAAGACTTTTTTTTTTTTTAACTTCAATTATATTCTCTATTAAACATCTAATTTCTTCTCAGTGTGCACAGATTTACGCAGTTCGGCCTATTCTCCAGGTGATACAACATCTTTTAATCTGAAGGTTAATACTTTTGCCCTCTGTCTATACTTTTTCAGCTAATTCACCTTTTTTAATAGCAAACTGGAAGAAGCAGAGTCTATTTTTCCAGTTTACATTCAATTTTCTTACTCAGATGTTTTATCATTCTCTCAGCATTTTAATTGTTTCATAACGTTATGAAAACCTTATAGCGTAAGGAATCCGTATCTACCATAAACAGCAGTTAAAAGGACTGTACACATCTGAATGCACAGGCCGCTACCCTTTTCAGGCCTCTCTATTATCAACATAGATTTCATGATACCATGAAGCAGACTTGAATAGAGACAGCAGGGAACAGTGGACATATTCATGCTATCCAGTTTATTGCAATATTGTACCCAAAGTTCAGGCCACTTTTATCTCTGCTCCCTTACTTATTCTTATAAAGAGAAAAACAAATCCAGCATTTTTTTTTAAATCCATAAAGGATAAGAGTCTACTAAACTTTGTACCAATGCACAAACATAGACAAGGACATTCAAACACTGAACTACACATTACTGAAGGCATATCGTCATTACTGACTAGTTCACTGACGGGGAACATGTTGATTAGTATATGCTTCAAGGTACTGTCAAAAAACAAGAAAGAAAGAAAAAAAAAAAAGCAGCTCATGCAAGACTACTCTTGACAGGACCCATAGAACTACAGAAGGGGAAGTCCAGGTCAAGGAAAGTATCAGGCAAGTGCAACAATTTCAAATCACCTGACTTCATTCTTTGTGGCCTTCTCCCCAAGTAGTCTTACACATTTTAATGACCTTTCAAGTGGTCATCACTTCCTTGCACTCTCCTACCATCCAACCACTAGAAACAGAAGCCTGCGCTTTCTCTTACCACTCTGCCCCGAAGCAGAACAGCACTTCAGAGACATCTAGCAGGGTATCTCATCTTCCTCCTCCAATCCTCATTCCTCCCCAATTACAGTGCCTACAATAACTCCATAGATAGCTCAGCTCCTCTGTTTTGTTTCAATTTCCAGAGAGCTGTCAATTGGTTCTGGAACACTTAACACAGTGGGCCTCTGACCTACCACTGAGACAACTTATTTGCAGTATGTGACTAAAAAATAGTCAGCATATTCAGTGTTATGAACCCTGCAAGCAACTAATGCCTCTGCCTGAAGGGGGAAAGCAAAGGAAAGGGACAAATAGCTATCCCTTTTCCTTTCCTTGCACTGAACAGTTACAGAGAAGTCGACACTATCTAACATGTCTGTAGCAGTCGAGCTGAACAGCCTTTAAAATAGGTCATTCTTTGGAAAAAGAAGAGACTACTTGGCTTAAAGTGTCTGCAACTTAATGCAAACATAGTTGCACCTATTTACAAAACTTGACAGTCCTGGCAACCCTCTCCCTATATTACCAGAATATACGCATTATTCATAAGCTCCTATTCCAATTAATCTCATCCCAGACCCAACTTTTGGTACAGTACAATTACCTATTCGGCACAAATAAATGATGAAAAAGAAATGCTATCTGATGCAACACAGCAAAGCCTACACAAACACAGCCCGTTCTTCCAAGCCTAACATCAGCTTCCTAACCCCAAGCTTTCCTTGTTTTACAGTCTTCTTCACTATAGACAATGTAAATAAATACAATTTTTTTCTCACTGATAAGCTGCTCTTGGTGTGGTAGCCGCTGCAAGACCATATAAACCACATTTACAAATATAGAACCTTTACAATGTTTGAATTACTGCTGCAAATCACACGTCAAATTTAAATGCCTTTGCAATAGATCTCTCTCATTCCTTTTTGACTTTCGTCTTAATATACTAAAGCCTAACACTAAGGGTTTTTTTCCTGCCTGGCTAAGCACACAGAAGTAGCCACCTAGCTTTGGAAGCTGAATAAAAGCCATTCTGTCCTTTTTAAAAAAACAGCAGATACTGCAAAAAAGGCAATTAAATGTTACACAGCCTTTAGTGATTATTTTTTTAAGCTACCACCAATACAAGTTGACTAGATACAGAGCTTTAGGATTTGGATAGCGTGCCTCGTCAGTAAGACTTTTTTCCAATGAGATGTCACACACAGATTTATATCCAGTGTATGCGTTTGTGCAACAGCTATTTTGACGTTATAGACTCTGAAGATTCTACAGGAATTTAAGTTCCAGCAAACTGCAAAGCCTCTTTTTAAATAGGCTGCAAAAGCATGGAATCCATTGTCCAACAATTTTTTGCATCTGCAACCATTAAACACTGAAGAAAGAGAAAAGGATAATTTATCAGAAGCATATTTCATAAGCATTATAAAGAGGAAAGAAAACACGATGCTTACAATCAAATAAAGGCAAACACCTGCTTAAGGAAGGCTGTAGACATCCATCCACTTTTTGGTACGTAAGAAGATACAGGACGCCAACTATAAACTGAAATGTAAAGTAAGCCACCATCTGATTGAAAAAGACAGTGGAATCTGTGTATATCTGCTGATTACGAGTCTTGTGAGTGCTTCAACTTATTTGTTTTTAATCGAAGTAGATGTCAGTAATAATTTGTGCATAAACAACTAAAATATTTGGCAACTATATCTGTTTCAATTAAACTGATTCAAGTTTTCTAATAAGCAAGAAATCAAAAATAGTAGTATAATACTAGATCCCCCAAACACATTAATTTGCGGGGAATACCCTTTTACATTGCTACAGGTCAGATTACTGATCAGTTGCTTGTTGGATCAGTTTAGATCACTTATCTAACTACCTCTCACTGAAAAATAGCTTATTTAGAACGAAAATAATCTAAAGACATACACCATCCATTCTTTTTAAGAAACTACTGATTATCCTTTCTTTAGTTGCTCAATAACAGATTAAGTTTATTTGTTTTAAACCAAGTCTCCTCTCAACCACAAAAAGCCTATCAGCCAATAACTTCCTCTTACCTTGCTCCTTTCTAGCTCTACCTGTTTCTGTTTATCCTCAAAGGGTCCTTCTCACCTCCGGCCTCTTGGTTCTCACAGATCCCTCTTTCTGCATCACCCTCAGCAGATTACCCTTTTGAAAAGGTGTGTCAAGGTGCAGGTCTTTCCTTCCCTCAGTAGGACAGGGAGGCAGTGTACAGAGAGCCTCTGTTCTCAGAAGGACCACCTTAAGAGACATACCTCCTAACTGCCACCTGATCAGCTTAAACTTGACTAATTTGCACTACCTGTGAAGATATAAGCACACAATTTAGAGCTCACTTACACCCATCACAGTGGAACCATAACCTTCCTCAAGAACACACCTCCTCTAGTGGCAACAATCACAGCAGCTGGGTAGAAATTGATAAAAAGTTCCTGCACAGAATGTCTCTTTATATACAAATATTGACAGATACTCCTTAGGGAGAAGATATAATTTAAATTGTATAGTAGAGAAGTGCTCTGCTAAGTGAGCTTTTGAGACCTCCATCAGTACCCACTAACCTCTATTATATTCACGTTATAAGTCCTATAAGCTTTTAATTTATGACAGGGAAGCGGCAAATTGATTTTCCAGTTATTAATCCTAGGGAAAG